GTGTGTCCGATTGGTTGGCTCGCGTGAGCGCTGTGGGTTGACTGGATATGTGACTCAGTTGTTTTGCTTGCCTGCCACGAAAGCGTACCAGTTTGGCCGCGTGTACTCAATACACCCGTGTCCATACTTACGTGTTCTTCTGACTTACTGTGAACTACGATGATGGGTATCCGCAAAATGCCGATCAAACAGCCTCGATCAATATCAAAAAGTGTCCTTCGAATGGCGCGAGGCGGTGGTAGTTTTTAGGTAAAGCTGTTTTGTTCCTTGTTGGCGAGTCTTTTTTCCGGCACTAAACACTAGAACGGGGATAGCAGTCAGGTAGAACAGTTGTGATTGCAAATTGCCTGTATTTTCAAGCAGCTGTTTGTCACGTTTCGGGGAATTACTTTTTTAGACGCTTCAAGGTGTTTTTTCACAGACGGTCTCTTCAGGCAGTTTTCTCAAAGCAAGTATGGACCAGGGAGCGACTGGGTTGCTATTTAGTACGTCCTATCGGAGTGTTGCCTTGACTACAGGCAATGGAAGGCGTTATAAAAAGTAGCATTTGATGAGTTTGAACCCGACCAGTTGATGACTGATCTAAGTGAGCGGTCTTCCAAGGCCTGTTTGGGTCTAGGAGATTCTTAGGAAGTATTTTCTATCTCCCATGCTCTTATTAGAATCAATCCAACCAGAAACTCTCAGGAGGATTACACTCTTGGTGTAAAGATCATCTAGGGCTAAACGAACCAATGCAAACGTGGTTACACAAGCTGAAGTTTGAACCTAGTCACGCAAATTTTAACGCCTTTCATCTGTCTCGCTCTCCATCATTTATACTTTACAGTTTTGTGTGCCAGAAGGACGCATAGGTCAAGTTCGCCAAAACCAGAAAAAAAACCACCTGGTCGTCGAGAGTTTTTGTCCCTCGGAGGGCTCCTCGTGCAATGGAAATAGTGAAATAAGCTACAGAATTTGGGGATCTCAACTGTGACCAACTGACCAAAAATGAGCTGTAAGTTAAACCAGTAGTTTCATAAATGTGCTGATTTTGGTGGCATTCAGGCTACTGAAACATCACTTTCGGATGGTTGAGTTGCTCAGTAGATTTGGTGTCCTGCTAATGATAGAGGTAGCATCATCATTGCGTCTGGGTTATGCTTTAGTTATCGTTCCATTCGCAGGATCAAGGGATTTGCTGACCTTCAAATATGGTTGGTGGTTCTGATGACAGCCGGATAGGTTGCATTTTCATTGGTCGACATCCAGACTTCGACTACCGACAATGGACTGACGCTGTAAGAGGTCAATTCTTTTTGAAAAAAAAAAACATCAGCCTCCTGATCTGTGAGGTAATTGAAGAGAAGTTACGATTTCTCAAATAACGTTGTACTCCCATGATATCCTTCAAATCTTACGGTGTTTTGAAGGAAAGCCTGGAAATGCCGCGAAGGAATTCAGCCCACGCATTAAATGTATGCAGCTTGTACACCAATTTTCGGGCGCACCGGATAACAAAATAGACTTCATTGGTGATGATAAGTTATGTCACTGTGATGCCGGATTAGGTCTGTGGGTGAAAAGACCAACTGAACAGGCGGATAACCATGTATGATGACCTGCAATAGTGCGCCTCTTTTCCTCACCATAAAAATACTAGCAGCAACCTCATGGCTGTCTGGAAAGGCACCTGTATAACAAGGGCCTCCGCTTACCGAAGAGACTGGCCGCAGACCACCAACTTCGAATTTCTTCTAACAACTCGTCGGGTGAAAGACTGTCATCCATGGCTTGTTGTCCCATGAACGGGAGTGTCGAATCTCTTGCACGTGCCATCAGCTGTGATGGAGAGGGTAGCAATTCTAGCCATCGCCGAAGGCGAGACATCATGTTGTGAACAGTGTCGGGAGATGCAACGTCCCCCGGTGGATAGGAAAATGCTGGTTGACGGTAGATTACCTTCGGATCATCCATGGTTCTCCACCGCCGTGTAGACTCCGGAGATCGAGCAAAGTACAGGCCATCTGATGGTGCTGGGGATGTTGGAGGGGTTTTCGAAACTTCCAGAGTAGGAAAAGTAGCACTCTAGGGGAGAAAGGATGTGCAACAAAGTGAGGATGCTACTGATTTCCACCACACTCATTTCCTGAAACTATTTGAAGGCATGAAAATTTGGTGACGCATTAGCTTCTTGGGAATTACCATTGAAATACGCTTTTTAAAGTTGGGAGAAGCGGTTACGCAGTTATAGTACCATTTCCCCTTTCCAAAAATGTGGTTAGAACCTTGGCGATCCCCATACCAAGCAGACGTACCATCATCTCCACGACAAACGTAAGGCGTAAGAAAGTGTAAAGATGTAAGGATGCATTCGCTACTTTACTGACAGCAGATTCATACATTATTCCTCCTGTTGTCTGTGTTTTGTTAGGTGATATGAATTGCTATATAAGTAGCTTTGAAGAGTGAATCTTGAGCATTGTAGCGTATCGGCTGAGAAAATCTGATGAGACAGTTTGCTAGCGCGTCAGTGAAACAGTTCAAGTTGTAGCTGTACATCTAAGGAACCTTGACGGAAGAGGTGTCTGAATTATGTTTGTAGCTACTCGGTCACCCACATACCTGACTGTTCAGCCCACAGTCGCTCACTGGATCATGAGACCTGTCTTTTTTCATACTCACAAACCACGTCACATTAAGGTGACTTATCGATTGTCTGTACCGTCCAGATGAGCTTAGCAACAACTCATGTGCTGAA